CTAAACATAGAACATGTCATTTGTTAATATTTCTACACTGCTACTAAGACTCTTTTTCTACTATTCATATTAATATGTACTACTAGTCAACCATTTGTGATAATTTACATATTAACCAAAGCAAGAGAGGTTTTTAAAAATTTTTTTAAATATTTTATTGTGAATTATGTGATACTTTACATGGTAGAACATTAGCTTTACATTCATCCTATATATATATATATCCTTTCATTGCCATGGTTACCCCTCCATGCATCAACAAACCTGCAAGCCTGCCTCTTGGTTGTCAGCACACAGCCCCTCTCCCTCTATCGGTCTAAAGTCCCCAACCACTCCATGTCTTCATGTCATCATCTCTGCCTCCATCTCTGGTGTCACTGCTTCTCTGGGTAGGGTCCTGCTCTGCTCTTCTCCCTTGATGGTCCCAGGGACTTCTGCTCCTAGACATCAAAGTCAGTCACTCCCCTCCTTTTGCTACAAAAGTCTGCCTTTACATTTCCAACCCACTGATTCAGTATTGTATTGACAGATTGGATACTACTCAGTGAAGATTCTACCTTCCTCTGCACCTCTGGATCTAGGCTCCCTCTTGAAAGCTTATAAGCCAGTCACTTCTTGCCTTTGTAACTCTCCCCACTCCCATTTTGGGTAGCCACTGTCCAAGTTGCCCATCCCTGTCTAATCCATGTATGGAGGGGGTGGGAATGATCCTCGCTGTAAACATTTGTTCCCTCTTTTGAGCTATTGCATCCAATTGTATCAGATTACTCTTTTTTTTCCTCTTCTTTCTTCTTCTAGTTGAAGTCTGATCATCCAGTCATTGAAGCCAGGTCAAGTGGGTATTATCTGCAAGTGTGGATGTTCTTGTGCATATGCACTCTCTTCTTATCAGCTAGACGCTTCGCTCTCCACTCTAGTCTTCTGTAGCTATGTCACTGACTCTGGGCCCAAGAGTCCCCAGGTCTTGCCACCCTGCTAGCTAACTAGGTCTCCACCCAGGTTCACAGGAGTCTATTGAACATTGTAGGGCTTAACTCGCTGCTCCATTGCTGTTTTTACCTCACTTCCCCTTATTGGTGATGAACATGGTCACCAATCAGAGTGTATGTCTCTGCTTGTGTATTCCCATTGAGTCTTATTTTTGGAAGGGGGTTTGCCCTTAGGGGACCCGACTCCTTGCCTTGATGTCTCCTGAGCAAGCAACTTGCTTGTTCTTATAGTAATCAGTTGGACTGCCATTATTATTATTATTATTTTTTTCCTGTCAGTCTTTCTTTCAAGAAATCTTCTGTTCTTCTAGGTATCCCAGGCTGGTCTGCTTGTCCTTTCAAGTGGAAATTTCCCACCTCTGAAAATTCTGGATGGGATTCAGGAGTCCATATATGGTCTTATGGTAATGTAGAGGCTCTGCTGGAAGCCTCCTTCACTGGGCATGTTGTAGCCCCATTTTAGGTATTTCAATCAACTATAAGCACAAGCTTTCTGTGGTGATATTTCTGGTTATTCCTTTCACCCCCCCTCAAGTGTCTATTTTATAATGGTGTGCCAGGGAAACCAAGATTCAAAACACAGACAAGCATCTTAACAGTATTTCCCCCCTTTGCCCATTCCAATCATGTCTCAATCCCTGTATCCCAGGGCCCTGTTGTTCCAAAGCTGTGCATACATCATTATTTACCTCTGCCCCACTTAGCCCATGCAAACCTGCCTAATTGTTTTCCCATCTGCCTTGTTCTTCCATTCCCCTCCCCCTTCTTACTTATTGCCCCCTCCCCAGCACCCAAACTATCCTATGTCTATTTCCTACCCTGTGTTCCACCTTCACCTCCCTCCCCTCATTCCACCCCACATCCCAGTAGCCAGCAAAGGATTCCTCTTCCCAACCCCCTCGCTTTTTGTATGGGTTCTTTTTCAGTCTTTTACAGTAGTGACCTATGTAGTAGTTCTCCTTTTGTGACTAATTTCACTCAGCATAATGTCCTTAAGGTTCATCCTTGTATGCGGTGGCTTGCAGCTTCCTTGTGACTCTTCAAGGTAGCACAATATTCCATTGTGTGTATTACCACAGTTTATTTATCCATTCTTCCATTGATGGGCCCTTAGGCTGTCTCCATCTTTTTGCTATTGTAAATAGAGCTGCTATGAACATTGGTGTGCATATATCTACTAGCATTATGGCTCTTATTTCTTGTGGCAAATACCAAGTGGAGGAATTGCTGGATCATAAGGTATTTCTATTTCCAACCTTACGAGGAAGCACCATATTGCTTTCCAGAGAGATTGGACCATTTTGCAATCCCACTAGCAATGCAGGAGCATCCAAGTCGCTCCACATCCTCACCAGCATTTATTGTTCTCTACTTTTTTGAACTTTGCTGTTATTGCAGATGTGAGATGATATCTCATTGTTGTTTTGATTTGCATTTCTCTAATGGCTAGTGATCATGAACATTTCTTCATATGTTTGTTGGCTGCCTGAATCTCCTCCTTGGTGACGTGTCTATTCATGTCCTGTGCCCATTTTTTAATTGGGTTTTTTGTCTTTTTCTTGTAAAGGTGTTATAATTTCCTATATATTTTAGAAATGAGTCCCTTATCTGATGTGTCATTGCAAAAGATTTTTTCCTATTCTGTGGGTTCCATTTTTACTCTTCTGACGAAGTCTTTTGATGCACATAATTTTTAATTTTTAGTATGTCCCAGTCATCTATTTTGTCCACTTTTGTTTGTGTAGTTTTCAAAATCAAAGCAAGAGAGGTTTGATTTAGAATATGCATCCTTTAGAAAGTTTACTTACAACAGGGTCCTGTTCTAAAAAATCTGTACTAAGTGAGTTCTGACATAAGTCAAATATCTCATTTCAAATTAACAAGTGATGTTATCCGTGGTATAAAACAACAAGGTCGCACTATAGACTTACTCTACCGTAAATGTAGTTAATGGTTATGCATTGAAATTGGTATCATAATGGCTATTCTGAAAATTGTAATTGTTACATGTCATTAGAGATAAACATGGCCAGACATTCTAAACTTTATGACTCCTAACACAAACACCAACTTTACTGTATATACCAAGTTTGCTACAAGACAGTGTTTTGAACAGAAAATGATAAATTGAACATCTGTAAGTGAACATCTGAGAATGATCACATCAGCAAATTATATACTACCACATCAACTATAGTCCATATGACCAATAATAAGATGTATAAAAGGGAGGAAAAAAAGAAAAGCAGGAGGTTGCAAATGCAGCTTGTGGTATCTCAAATAAAGGGACTACCCATATTTTTTTCTTATTTTTTTTGAGTGGAGCTGAAGGAGGCCTGTACATTTAAAGACAACCAAATGAAAATTATTTAGTACTTTTAGCCTTGATATTTTATATGAAGTCAATTCTATTCCAAATAATAGCTGCATATGTTACATATCCTCCATTAATAATTTTACTTATTCTTCATAACATATTTGTAAGGTTAATACTAGCATTATTCATATCATGTAAAGAAGAATTCTGAAATTTAGAACTGTTAAGAAAATTAGTAAGGTCACTAAGATTTTAAAACTTAATCTGCCTAACTCTAAAACCTATAAACTTATACTGTATGATGAAAAATATTTTAAGTACTCTGATCTACTCTCCATTTTCCCCCCACAAAATACTTATTTTCATATTTGCATTATTTCCTAAAATATAAAGCATAGGTAATGGTAGGGCAATTAATTAGGTATACTGACAGTTAAATTACTAAAGGCTTAGAATCTGAATAGAGTACTTATGAATTTATCTTTGCTCTCAATACTAGGTCCTCATTCTTATTCAGACATTTGTTTCAGAACTTCCTATGTTTATTGTATTTGCTATTACATAACGGCCCTGTAGAAATCCTAATGTGGCACTGCAGGATAAATACTGGATCACAAGACCCATCTGAACCTCAAGATCAGTAGTTCAAACTCATCAGCTGCTCCTCAGAAAAGCTATACGGAGTCTCTATGAGATGGAACCAACTCGAAGGCACTGAACAACAAAAACATGGGCAATAGACAATTTCACATCTTCACAACAGAACGTCCAATCTAAATACAAGTAGCAATTAGGTTTGCCCTGGACAATATTCCCCATTCTTCCACATGTAAAAGGTTATATCATATGGATTAGCAGTTTAAAATTTCTGATATTAGATCTATGAGTGTTTGTGAAGTGAATTAAATATAATCTTAATCTTGAATTATTTTTACATCTATTAGAACTAATCTTGGGTGTGCATTGTTTTAATTTCCACTGTTCCTGTTGTGGCTTTTATTGCTACTAATGTTTTTGCTGACTGTGACTTGTTCAGATTAAAATTTTTGGTCAAAGTCTCAAAAAAACAGTTACTACTGCAATATCATTTAGGAATGAATTGCCAGGGACAATGAAGGCATAAGGAGATGGGTTCCACTTATCAATACAAAGGGATTTTGCATTTCCTCCTTTTCCCATTGGATCTTTGAGTCAATCTTGATATATTGAGAGCAATGAGAGATTCTCTAAAAATTATTTTATTGATTATGAAATTCATTTTTATAAGAAAAAAAAGACACAAAATTAAATCTTTACAAAAAGAAAGTTGATTGTTACTACAATGGCATCTGGTTTTAGTTATCAGTCTCTCGAGTATACAAAATATTATCTCAAACCCCAAACAATTTTGTGGTGTGGTACAGAGATTATTAACTAGACGAAATGCTGTTGTTAAAAATATGGATTTAAAAGCATAGTACTGAGTGATGTGTAATTTCCAAATGACAACTTGATTTTTATAAGACAGAGTAAGAGAAACATTCATTAAAAATGGAAAGCACTACAAATGTATTCATTAAAGTAAAAAGAAATGGAGAGGATGCATAAAACAAATTAGTCAGCTAGTCAGTTGTCCTTCTGTTATATCAACATTAAACAAAAGGCATCCTAATAGGTTGGACTTTTTGTTTGTTTCCACATGTTTCCTGATCCAGATTTATATTTTTGAAAATAATATCTACTATCAACCCGATATAAAGAGCAGTTCATTGCGACTGACATCTTCTGGAAAAGAAGGGATTGTTTTTAATGGAATTGCTGACTGGTTATATGAAGGTGAGTAGAACAAATTTAGTTTCAAAAGAATATAAATGACATGTTTTTATACAGAATTTCAAAGAACAATCTGTTTATTCTACAACTAGGCTGCAACTATTTATAGCATCTATTTCCCCCTCATTTCCTCTCAGATTACTTCATGCTTTCCAATATTAGCAAGTGTTCAATTTTCAATTGGGGATTACATTTACTTATATGATTCTATATTTGATGGGTGTGTCTGCTTGTATTATGTTGAGCCTACATTGGTGTTATTTTACATGACACTTAAGTAATGAATTGAATGGTGGTTTTAAGTCACTTTGGAATTTGATCCTAACTATTTCTGATTCTTTGGAAAATATGAAACAAAAAACTTGCACTGTTCAAAAGCTGCATGCTGTTGCTATTGTTTGGTGCCATCAAGTTAGTACTGACTCACAGCAACCCTATGTACAACAGAACAAAACACTGCTTCGTCCTGCTCCAACCTCACCATCATTGCTATGTTTGAGCCCATTGCTGCTGCCACTGTGCCAATCTTTCTGGGGGGCCTTTCTCTTTTTCTCTGACACTCCATATTACCAAATATGATATCCTCCTCCAAGAACTGGTCCCTCCTGACAATATGCCCAAAGTATAAGAGATGAAGTCTGGCCATCCTGGCTTCCAAGGATCATTCTGTTTGTACTTCTTTCAACACAGATTGGTTTGTTCTTTTAGCAGTCCATAGTACATTTGATAATCTCCTCTGATACCGCAACTCAAATGCATCAATTCTTCTGTGGTCTTCCTGATGCACTGTCCAACTTTCACATGCATATGAAGTTACTGAAAATACCATGGCTTGGGTCAGGTGCACCTTAGTCCTCAAACTGACATTGTTGCTTTTGAACCTTTAAAGAGGTCTTGTACAGCAGATTTGCCTAATTCAATACATCATTTGATTTATTGACAGCTACTTCCATGAGTGTTGATAGTTGATTTGAGCAAAATGAAGGCTTTGACAACTTCAATTTTTTCTCCATTTATATGGATATTGTTTCTTGGTCTAATGGTGAAGATTTTTGTCTACTTTACATTGAGGTGCAACCCATACCAAAGGCTGTGGTCTTTGATCTTCATAAATAAGTATTTTAAGTCCTATTGGTTTTCAGGAAGCGAAATCATAATCATCTGCATACCAAAGGTTGTTGAGTCTTCCAACAATCCTGATGCCATGTTTTTCTTCATATAATCCAGCTTCTTGGATTATTTGCTCAGCATACATATTGAATAGGTATGGTGAAAGAATACAACCCTGACACAAACCTTTCCTAATTTTAAACAATTTGGTGTTCTCTTGTTCTTTTAGAACAATTGCCTCTAGATTTATGTACAGGTTCCTCATGAGTACAATTAAGCGTTCTGAAATACTCATTTCCTGTAATGTTGTCCATAGCTTGTCATGATTCATAAACTCAAAAGCATTCAAATAGTCAATAAAACACAGGTAAACATCTTTCTAGTATTCTCTGTATTCAGCCAAGATCTATCTGATGTCAGCAAGAATTTTCCTAGTCCCATGCCCTCATCTGGATCCAGTTTAAATCTCTGGCAGTTCCTTGTCAATATATGTTTGCAGCCATTTTTTATTATTTTTAGCTAAATTTTACTTGCGTGAGATATTATACGATGACTTACACTCTGTTGGGTCACATTTCTTTGGAATGAGCACAAATATGGATCTCTTCCAGTCAGTAAGCCGGGTAGTTGTCTTCCAAATTTCTTGACATAGATGAATGAGTGCCTCCAGGGTACATTAGTGTGTTGAACTACTTCAATTTGTATTCCATCAATTTCCAGAACCTTGTTCTTTGCCATTGGCTTCAGTGCACCTTTGACTTCTTCCTTCAGGATCATTGGCTCTTGAACATATGATACCTCTTGAAACAGTTGAACATGGACTTCTTTTTTATTTTGTTTTGTGACTCTCTGCATTCCTTCCATCATTCAAGATTTTTGCCTATAGAATCCTTCAACATTACAAGCTGAGGTTTGAATTTTTTCTTCATTTTCCTCAGCTTGAGAAATGCTGAGCGTATTCTTCACTTTTGGTTTACTAACTCCAAGTCTTTGCACTTTTCTTTATAATATTTTATTTTATTCTCTTGAGCTGCTCTTTGAATTTTCTGTTTAGCTCTTTAACTCCCACATTCCTTTAATTTGCTTTAGTTTCTTCTGACATCCATTTTGGTCTTTTTCTTCTTTCTTGTCTTCTTAATGACCTTTGGCTCTCTTCCTGTAAGATTTTTTTGATGTCATCCCACAGCTCTTTTTTTCTGTCTTTAGTGCCAAATGCATCAAATATGATTCTTGAGATGATCTCTAAATTCAGGTGCAATATGTTCAAGGTCATATTTTGGCTCTCATGGACTTGTTTTAATTTTCTTCAGTTTCAGCCTGAACTGGCATATTAGCAATTGATTGTTCTACAGTTTGCACCTGGCCTTGTTTTGGCTGATGATGTAGAGCTTTTCTGCTGTCTCTTTCTACAAATATATTTAATTTGACTTCTGTGTTTTCCATCAGGTGAGGTCCATGTGTATAGTGACCATATATGTTGTTTTAAATAGTTATTTGTAATGAAGAAGTCATTGGTATTGCAAAATTCTATCATGATATCTCCAGCATCACTTCTATCACCAAGGCCATTTTTTCCAAAGACTAATTCTCTTTGTTTCCAACCTTTGCATTCCATTCACCAGTACCTATCAAACTATCAGTACATCTCGATTGCATGGTTGATCAGTTTCAGAATTAGAATTAGAATTGTTCAGTTTCATCATCACTGCCTTTAGCGGTTGGTCTGTAAACTTGAATTGTAGTGATATTAACTGGGCTTCCTTTTAGGTGTATGAATGTTATCCTATCACAGACTGCATTGTACTTCAAGACATATCATAATATGTTCTTTCTGATGATGACTATGATGCCATTCCTCTTCAATTTGTCATTCCCAGTATAGTAAACTATATGATCATCAGATTCAAGACGGTCAATACCAGTACATTTCAGCTCACTAATGCCTATGATATCGATGCGTATGTGTTCTATTTAATTTTGACAATTTCCAATTTTTCTAGATTCATACTTCATACATTCCATTCTGTAATGATTAATGGATGTTTCCAGATGTTTCTCTTCATTTTGACTTGTGCCTTCTCAGCAAATGATGGTCCCAAAGATTTCACTCCATTCGCATTATCACGGTCAAGTTTACTTTGAGGAGGCATTTCAACCTGAGGGGCTCATCTTTCGGCCCTATATCTGACAATATTCTGATGCTCTTAATCGTGTTTCAATAGTCAGTATTCTGGTGCTGACAGTGTTCTACTGCTATTCATGTTATTTTCAGTGGCTGAGTAGCCAGAAGTAGTCTGTGTCTCCTTTCTAGTCTCTTTTAATTGAAGCTCATCTGTCCACCATGGTTGACCTTGCTGGTATTTAAAATAGTGGTGGCATAGTTACCAGAATCATAGCAACATGTAAGCCACTACAGTATGACACAGACAAATGGTGGGAAAGTTTCATATGAGCCACTTAATTTTAATGTTTCATGATAGCAACATTCTATCACATTTAAATCCCAGGATATAGAGAGAAATATAAAACCCACTTTAAGAGATTTTTTTTTTTTTTTTGTGGTAATACTTGAATCAAGTGTTATTAAGGATGAAAATATAAAGATGATTCAGGTGGTGAAAACCATCTTTCTATTTTGAACATGTACCAAATGCCAGTCCAGTCATGGATATCAGTTACATGGGGAAGACTCAAAGCTTGAGTTGAATACCTAGGTTTCAGAAGGTACAAAGTACCTTGGCAAATGTGTAAAGATTTAGCCTATTTCATTACAAATTATAAAGTTAAGAATCATCCATAAACATCAATTTCACTTCAAGAAAACTAGTTGCAAATGCACTTCTCTACTTCAGGGTGATGGTTTTAATATTTATCTAAAGAGTGACTCAATAATCTCATTCATTCATTAGTTTACTCAGCAGATATTATTGAGGGCGTCTAGGCTGTGAGATACAACAGAGAAAAAAATCAAGTATTATCGCAAGACCTTACATTCAAGTACATTTAAGTGCATAAAAGTGTGAAGAAGAAATGCAAACATATACATAAAGTTCTTAGATAATAGTGCCAAAATCTGACTCTCTTTGCTATTTCAAAAGCTAAATTAATGGGTGCACACGGGATTACCCTTTGAGTGAAGAAACAGTTGTAGAACAACCTTAAAACCATGGTAGTTCAGGGAATCCAGGTAGCAGTGCTAATTGATGGCCTACATTAAAGGAGCACAGAGATTAAGATATGCCCTTTATCTTGAAAATACTGTTGCTACTGTGTATGGTCTGGGCAGATGAGGAAAATCTGTCACCTATCATGTGTTAAGTTCCCAGATTATATGAAACACAGACTCCTATGAAAGAACAAAGGAGTGACACTTAGCCCATTTTAAGGATTTACATATATTTTCTTAAGGGGAATTAAGGTGAACCTGAAAATTTCAGGGATGTTATACATAAAAGGAAATTGAAATCTAAGTAGAGGTAACAGCTTGCAGAAGTACAGACTTGTTAAATAGCTGTCTGCCAGGAACTAAAATCTATTTGGATAGTACTGAGGCATTCAATTTGAGATGAAGGGAGGTAGCAAAACCAAGCAATGGTGACCCTCACAGTGATACTACATTTCAATTACTTTCCCTCTAGTAAATGGGGAAACTACTAGAGTTTCTCAAATAAAGGAGTGATGAGATTAGATCATCCATATAAACAGATCATCTTGGCAGCAGTGTGAAACTGGGATCTAATAGAGGAAAGACTCAGTGAGCCATTTTAAGGAGTTTTCTATGTTCTGTCACGATATAATGAGCAACGGAACTAGGTTTAAAGCACTAAGAAGGAAGGGGTGTTCTAAAATTGATGAGGCAATAAATATATCATAATGACTAAGTGAATGGGATG